ATATGATATGTTGTGTTCTCGCGTCGCTCTCTCTCTCTTTCGTGTGTGTGGTTGGCTGTGCTAACGTGGTCTGCTTTTCTTGCAGAGTGGTGGCGGATCGAGGTCTTCACTCACCCCTCCATCTTCAACGGACGGCTATCCGAGCATTGCCGGTCCAGGGATGACCGCCGACTCCGCAGCAGCGCTGCTCCAGACCCATCAGCACCACGCTAATGGTACCCACCTTACGCTTCTCTTCACTTATTAATCTTCGTTTCTATTTCACACACACTTTGCACACCTACTAATTGCTTGCCGCGCGTTACCCACAGGCATTGCGAACAGCTTCGGCACCGAGCCCCGCTTTTATTTGCTTCTAACCCGGCGAAGCGCGATTTCGTGCTGTGGTGGTGGCTTGCGGTGGCTAGCGAGCTGCATGCTCCTTTTTACTCTACCGAAACTCTAACCCTATCAACATTTGGTTTTCCACCAGCGCCAACCGCGACCAGTTGCTTAGTGCCGCCTTTGGAGGAGCTAATTAAACTCTTGCCCGCTAAAGTGGTCATACTGGGAAGACCTTGACGAAATGCCGAAAAGTTGAGAATTAGGCGTGCTAGAGATAATTGATGGGATATTCTCGCAAAGTTCGCTGCGATTAGTTTCGGGAGCGCGTTGATTGCTGATAAATTCCAGGCCGGTGCGTTGATCTGCATTGAGAGTGTGTAAAGTTTTGAATTGTGGAGGAATGTGCGAGGCTTGTGAGTGACGCATCGTAAAAAGAGACATCTCTAGACTGTGGCTATCTGTCTATTAGAAGAACAGGCGCGTCGCGAAGCGCAGATACAGATAGAGGGCAAGCCCGGTGTAATAGCGAATGCAGTGCCCAGTTGGGGTCACGTCGCCAGTGTTCCTCAATTCCATGACTGAACACCTCAACTCCAATCTGCTTATTCCGACTGCAGTAGGTAACCAAAGCGCTCCCTTTCATCTCCTTTATCGGTGTCCGATCGCAGCTATCATACAAACTTGTTGCTCTGCGCTGTTAAACAAAGTCCGTTCAGGCTCCAGTGTTGGCGCAGGTCAACAATACTCAGTTGAATATTTATCGCAGCTGCTCAAGGACAAGAAACAGCTATCTGCCTTTCCAAATGTCTTTCATCATTTGGAGCGACTTGCAGATGAGGGTAAGATACCATGCATTGTTGGTTTTGAACTGTTATCCACGCATGTACATTCATAACCTTTACAAGCTTCTTGCAGAGATTAGCAAGGTTCGAGTGGCTTTGTTCCAATTCGAATTCACGAAAGAGGAAATGAGCCTTCCCGAACCCGAAGGGGAAGTACAAATTACTACCGAAAAGGTCTTTGTTCCCGCTAAGGAGCACCCCGATGTTTGTTGCCTGTTTTCTCCTTTTTT